AGTAATCAACCTCTCTCTCCACCTACCTAGATTACTTTTTAGAATTTTAACCCTCTCCCACCCTATTGTATGGTTGTGTGTTAGCGCATGCATTGCAATTGCTGAGCTTTTTTCTAAATTATTTATCTTCTCGGGGTCAACCATTCTTACCTTAGCTAAATTTTTATGCTCTGACAATCTGACTACCCCTGACCTACTAGTTTGACCTATGTAGTTTACCTCACAGTCATTGCATGGTATTTTGTAAATAATATTATTTTGTCTAATTGGGTCAACTGGGTCCTTATAACCTACAGAGCTTGTCCCTGAGTGAGTTTGTAGGTTTAAATGCCACCCTAATTCCTATTTTATTCAGAATCCTACGTAGTGTCTCAGATGTCCCCTCTTTATATGGTATAACTGTGGATGACTTATATTCTTTCTTATTTATGTTATTATTACTAGTTTCACAATTATTTTTATTTTGTTTTTGGCCTTTAATGATCTTCCTAACGAATTTTATAGGATAGTTATTCAACACCAACGCTTCTTCTATCTGTTTTAATTCATCATTTAGATCTTTTTTTTGTGCTACTTAGTGCCACTGCTCGGTTTGTTAAACATTTAACTAAGCCTGCCCTAACAGTTAAAGGATGAGACGAATTAAAGTCTAAATATCTATTAGAATGCGTTGGTTTTCTATAAACACTAGTGTGCAGTTTGCCTTCTTTTATTCTTTTTATCTTACAATCTAACATAGCTAATTCTCCTTGCTCATTTTCTGATTCAAATGTGAATTTTATTCCCTCAACTTGTGAGTTTATATATGTAATAAGGTTAGGAAAATAATTTTTTAATCGTAATCACTGTTAATTTCGCTAATGATATGCATACGTTTCAAACAAGCTGTTACGAGTACACGTGAAATACTTGGCGGAAATCTCTGAAGATAGAGACATAAATGGTGTCTTCACAAATATCAGTATCAAATTATCTGTAATATGAGAGGTAGTTGCTTATCGTTTTTTCGTCGTCATCTCTTCATGCATTATAAATGATGTGATGAAGCTAAACAATAAGAAATGTTTATATAAATTATAGTAATTATTTATAGACATCGGTAACCAGAGGCGTATGATACGCTTATTGTTGTAAGTATTCAGATTAATGTAGGGTTGATAGTCGGAATTACTACAGTTAATTTCTCCATTGGATGACGTAGCCTAATGAAGCGTTATCTTACGTTTGCCCTACAAATATTATAAAATCAATTAATTTCAACTCTTCGGCCACTGTTTGTCATTCTTAAAACTATTGAATATGTTTCCTTTTTGGCTAGAAAGATGTGGAGATCTTTTAATTCTGTGTTGTCAAGATGTAATGTAAACTTCCTTATTCGACGTTTTTGTAAAATAATCTTTTTTTTCATCAGCAGTGGGAGATTTTTGCGGCAGTAGAATATAACATTTTCCATTCGATAAATCCTGTTTGTTTATACTCATTTTTCCTCACTTCAAGTCTAGAATTTCTTTGGGTTTAATTTTCTCAATCAATATTATGCTGGATTTAGGTGTTAAGACAGATAAGATAAATTGTTCATATGCCATCTGATTTATCTTAAAACACCACTTTCTGTTATAGCTTTTCCTATTATCGATTTAAATCTGAATTTGAGTTATTCTTTCTCTGCGATATGTATCCAGCTTAGAAATTTGACAGATGAAAAATGGTAATTAAGCAATCAGATAAGTTATTTGTCCGTTTTTGCCTTTAGTCGATATCCTTACGCTGCTGCTTGTAGAATGTGTGTTTATGCTTTTTCTGAGGAACAGTTCTGTGGGGGAAACATTTGAATAAAATCTGATTAATCTAGTTACATTGTTGAGTTTTAAACAGTCAGAGGGAGTAACAATAAATTGTTAGATTACAACACTGAAGAAATTATTTTTGGCATACACTGAAAGCTGAAAAATCATTCTGGTTCGACTAACTGATACATAGTTTTTTTATCAGTATGCGTTGAACAATATCACGGTAAATATAATTAGTTCGATGGTAATGATTACATTGATTAGCAGATAATGCACTTATATATATATATATATATATATATATATATATATATATATATATATATATATATATATATATATATCAGTAGATCAGAATCATTAGGAATGGACTTGATGTATTTACATATGAAATCACATTTGGATGATATCACTGCCGTCTCTCAAGCATGTGGGCTGATCTCACAAATCCTTAAACGCCACAGACAGTTAATTTCGCACTTGTATAAACAAGGTCTATAATTAACAATATATATATATATATATATATATATATATGTCTTATAAGTATTATTATTCACAGTTCACTGCTACTAGCTTTACAGAAATTTTACCATTGACCTATTGATCTCTGTTTTAGAAACTGAATAATACATAAACCTTTTCTTTTTTTAATCAGTAGTTCAATATGAAATAGGCTTCAGTCAAAGTGCGTAAGGCTGTGTATTGTGGGGGGTCGAACAAATATCGGTTTTCGAAAATGACTCACACTTACATCCTCAGGATTTGTCAGTCAGTAACGAAACCAGAACACTATGGTGCCCCTCAAGTAATTTCAGTTAATGAATTAGCTGTTCCTGTATACAAGTGTGGTGAGAGCAGGCGGCTAGCCAATTGGTAGACATTAATTTATTTCAATGTCTAGATCGCTAATATTGGCCGTGAGAAAATATGAACAAGACTGATTCAACAACCAACCACAGCAGACTTAACGTGGGAAAATACGATTCGCAGATATATAGCTTAACTTTCTGCGGAACCAGTCACGAGCAGTACAGAATAACTTTGAGCAAGAAACAACCAATCAGAAGACTATGTTTGTCTGCTTGAATAAGCTATGATAATGTACATGAAATATATATAAATACGTACTGATTTCCTTAATAAACGATCTGTTGCCTGGCTCTTGTCTTCTGTTGTTACACAAGATGTATTAAACAGTAAACAGGTGGCATGAAGGTATTATGGAATAACTTTATCAGAAAAATAATCTCCTCACCAACATGCAGTACTAAACTTACATAACAAGGACGAATATATTTATTATTATTTTGTATTTCTTCAGCTAGTATGAGTTTAAAAGTGATATAATTTAATTATAAATTTAAATGTGCATGTGTGAGTCGGTGGCACAGTGGTTAGGATCCTCGCCTACCATGCACATGGTCCGGGGTTCGAGTCCACGCCGACACACACCCGATTTCTATGGTCGGCCTGCGAATTTTGGGCTACCGATATCCACGCTGAAAATTCCATACTTGTACCAAAAATACGGTGTGGAATCAAGCTGTAAATCAAAAAAAAATATATGTATATATAACATAATCCGAGATTATTATTTCAACTCTAAGAGGATTTAATGAGGTTCTCCAGTTTCTAATGATTCCGCAACATATCATCTTGTGATCCAACTTTCAATTTAACTTCACATATTCCTCTAGATATGTGTAAATAAGCCTTTAGTTGTTCCGTCATTAACTATCTTGTATGCATATCTATGGTTTTATTACTATATTTAGAACTATTACATCCCCTTTGAAATGAAGTAATTTAAATTTATGGCAAATTGTGTTATATTTAGATGGTTACTGGCTAAACAAGGACTGTGAAGTAAAGTGATCACTCCTCACCCTGAAACTGCATTCCAAACAATGGGAACCATGTGTATCACGTAAACTTGCGTATTACTCATTATATATATATATATATATATATATATATATATATATATATATATATATATATATAGTAAGAGATCAGAATCTAAATAAATTATGCAACATGAAGCTACTTCCTTACTCTTTTCAATACTCAATACTTAAGGACTTAGTAGTGTTTCAATATTTCCGAAAAATATTTTCTACAAGCAGTTAAGTGTAGCGAAAATGGGTAGCTTATATAAAAAGGTAGACAATTAGTGTGAATTGGTTAACATTTTTTCTTGTATTTTAAAAATTTAATTTCTAGATTTTTTTGAGCATTATAAATTAAAACACAAAAGAGAATCTTTTAGATATACACTACAAATTCTGCATGTTTTCATTTTCTCTAGCTTGAAAAAGATAGTATGTTTGACTTATGTACAAATAAATCTATTGATTCATACAGGGGATCACACAAATTGTAGTATATCGACTGTCAAATAAGAATTTCGACATTGTACTTTTCTCATGGAAAATCTTTTTGTGCATAGCGAAGCATTGATGCTCTGATGATGCTTAGTTTGAAATTGAAACACTAGTCGTGGGAAACTGTAGCTCAGTGGATAATTCAATCTGAATATTTAAACCCTGCGCTAAAGCACTGTCCAGCATATACAGTTCACTGAATTTGAAATAATGAATACAAAACTCCACAGCAAGTGAATCTAACTAAATAGTTCGTCTCTTTAAATAGTACTTGAAAGTTGGAAATAAATAAAAAAAATTTACTATGTAGAGTTTTAAGGTTTTACTTGTATATATGGCATATATAAAACTTGTAGAATACTGCATCAAGCAAGGCATAACAGGTTAGAACATTTAAAAAGAGCATAAATCTAGAAAGGCATTAGTATCTAAAATGATGCATTTGTACAGTTGGAATGTCGTTTTAATATATTTCATTTCATTCAATTCTCTGTGTTCAGTTCATGAAGATGTGTGACTACCCATCATTTATTGGATAAAAATCTAAACACTAAAAGACAATGTAAACATAAGAGTGATAAGGTTTAAAAATGGCGCTTTGAACAGAAACGTAATTTAAGTAGAAAAAACAAGTACCTTTTTCCTGTAAATTCTTTTGAAAAACACCAATCGAATTTAAATGCAGAATATTTCAGGTTACTATAAGATATCGATTTTAATAAGAATATTGTTCAACGCTTTTATGCATAGATCACAGATTGCAAAAATTACCTAAATTTTGAAGTTAACTGTCTTCACTTGAGCCACTCACAATTGCAAAACGCTAAACAAACTCTCCTGGATCTTCCTCAGTACGATTTCTGATATTTGATATTTCAGTATTTTCTTGTTGTTGTTGAGTAGTGTTGCTTGTTCTTGAATTTGCATGACTCAAAATAGAGCTGCCATCCATAATGAACGACTTCTTGTGTATATCTGGACTCATCTTGGAATCTGAAGGATGGCTTGCAGTGGGTTTCAGCTTGTCAAATCCTATGCTACCAGATACCGTTGGCCTCATTCTGACAAACTGGTCAGTGTGTTCTGAAACTAAAGATCCTTGACTACGACTTGTTATGGAGCTACTTTTCCCATCTGAACTACCGCTAATTGTAGTCCCTGGAGGGGGAGGAAGAGGTGGCGGAGCAGATGGTCGTAAAAGTGGTGGGAGGGGTGGTGGAAGTTTAATACCATCTGGACTCGCAGGTGGAGGTCTTAAGTGATATGAGGGATAGTCTGGAGGCTGTTTTCGTCTAGTTTCTGAGGATTCTGAGGGGCTTACTGGTGTGAGGGATCGACTAGCACGATGGAAGTTACTAGAAACTGCTCTGGAACGTAGGTGATGATGGTGATGTGAGGAACGGTGTGCTTTTTGATGTTGTGGTGGTTGTGTCTGTTGTATAAATGAGTGAGAAACTGCTTGAGAAGTAGAAGTTGTAGTAACATTCTGATGTGCTCTATACATGTTCCACAGCCTTTCAACAATTTCGGAAGCAACCAATTCACCTGCATTTTGAGCTGTTAGCCGTAAAATGAACACACCATCTTGTCTTAAGTATGAATCAACAAATGATAATGTTTTTTTCTTATCACCAGGTTCCAGTACACCACGTAACTTCAAAAATTTTCTGATGAATTGTATTCTTGTTCCTCGAAAACTAGATTTGTACGACCAATAAAGGAAACTACTAGTATTGATAGCAGCCACTAATATAAACCAAAACCACAGGAATATGAAGATTTTTTCGTTGAACATGTTGATGGGCAGCACACATTGAACTGTATGTCTATGCTTATTGGCAACTTTACGTACCTCAAAATCGCAGAGGGTTATGCGTGGAAAATTGCCAGATTCTTGCCAAACATAACCTTCACTTATATCACGCAGTAAATCCAAACCATAAAAGGTATAATTTGTGCCTAAAATTTTGTTCATCAAAATGAACTGTCCGACAACATTGAATATGTAAAAGGATTTCGTAATAAGATATAAACAAATCAGATAATTTCCATACCGCTTCCCAAACCACAGGCAACAATTCCTAGCTAGGCAATGTTTTAAGCGAACGCCACATCCTGACCGATATTCACGTTGTGAAGTTAATGCATCTTCTATATGCCTAGCAACGAAGGTTATATTAGATCTGCGGGTTTCAGGATCTTTGATCATTTCAATTTCACAGGCGACTTCCATGATGCTGGATAACTGAAATGCAAAATCAGAATGAAAATAGAGTGTTCACCATTCGGAAAATATTTTTTCAGTGAAGTTTCTTAATTTGTATATTTTATGCATAGCACAAAGAAAATGGGAATGTCAAAGAAGGTGTATGTCAGAGAAACAGTTCTCAAGAGGTGGAGCTGTTTTTTTATTTTTACAGTGATTTTATTGCTGTTGAGAAAATGCTTGCCATCGCTGATGAAATGCAACAGTTAATATATTACCAGCGAGTCGGCTGGTTATAGTTCGTCTTGGTGGAATAGACTACACTGATGACTATTAAAATGATAACTATTATCAAAATATTCGAAAAAAATTAACTTTAGGTTTCATATCAAACAAATAGTTAGTGGTATATCTAATGAATTAAAATATCTAGTGCTGTCAAATAAAATACTCATTGTTTGAATGACTGTTTTCAAAGTAGAAATTCTGCACAGATGTTCAGCATTTTGAGTTTCCACACTCCATGTAGGACACAATACAGGAAAAGCGAGATTCAAAAGAGAGATAATAAACACAAGTGTGACTAAGGTAAAATGAATAGTAATGTGGAAGAATAATAGAATTATATTGACTATAATAAATCACAAAGAGTGAATGCAGCGACGCCAATGAGAACGATTTTTAGCAATATCACCAGTTATCTCCACTCCTTGGTTTTTACCATCCCGTGGACCCCGAACAGGAAGCTTACATCTCCCTACATGAATGGCTTAAACTAACTGTTGTGTATTTCATTGACTGATGAAGCCATGTTTTCGTCTGACCATCACCAGCTGACTCTTCTCCAACGTGATTCTACGTCAGTCAGTTAACCCTCCCCCTCCAATCGAGGAAGGCAGTATCCAGGAATGCAGGCGTAGCATCTCAGTTTGTGTAACTTTACAAACACGTCGATTGATTTAATCTCGACCGATGCCTACTATACCAGCGAACACGGGGTATAAGAGACATGCTCCTTTGATCAAAGATAGATAGCCTTTTCGCATTTTCCACCTTCAGTGGCAGTATCTTTTAGCCGTAAAAGAGGACAGAGTGAACTACTGAGAAGCACACACGTAAGAAATGAAAATGTATGTACGTAAGATGCCTTAATTAAGAATGAGAAAATCTGCTCAGCCTTGAAGATCCCTTCTTGAGTCACAGTAAAATTCAATGTAAATGAATATAAAAAGAAGTGTTCACAGATATACTTACAAGCTGTGATACCTAAATATTAGCGAGTGAATAGCGTTTCACGCCTGTAATGTATTCAGAGCAATCTGTCACCGTTGTGTTTAATAAATACGAAGAAATCGGCTGCCTAAAAGTCATTGGACCCAACAATATACTGAAGACGTGATTCACTGCATGAAGCTTTAATACCCGTAATATAGATAATTATATAAATTTGTAAAATGGATTTATATGTCCATAAAGCTTTTACGTTGTTCTGAATATGAAACATCTTCAGTTTCCAAGGGAATAAAGAAGCATCAATATCCAATTAACTGATATCAAAGGTAGACTGTCTTCACAGATTAAACTCTACATTGTCTTCATCACAGATGACTTACTTGTAAATAGTTCGTTATATGAGTAAAAACAAGTTGAACCTATATTCAAGCAAGTCATCCTTCAATTCTAATTAGGTAAGTAAGAATTGCCATCACAAACGCCAACAGTAGTAAAAAGAATTATGACAATAATAAAAATACCACAAAAAAAGTAATTCGATATCCTATTGTTAGTTTCCGTTTCGTATTCAACAGACCAGGAGGTTTTGAGAAGAAAAACAGTTTTTGTTCCCATTGAGATGATACCTATTCACTAACACATTGTTATATGTATTAATGAAATGAAATGGTGTATCTGAGGCAAGCAGAAATGCTGAAGAAAGAGATAAGAAAACAACAAAATCTGTCGATAAAGATAAGCAGAAGAAATAAATGAAGAGACAGCTAGTTTCCTATCTTGCTTTTTTCTGTAAATTCATTTTCTCCTTTTTTTGTCTTCGTTATACTGTGAATTTATGAGTGATATGAAATTACCAGGAAAAAAGACAGCGTAGAGAAGAGAATAACAAAATTTCAAAAGTTTATATCATAGTCGATATTCAAATAGTTTTATGTTGATAAAATAGTTATTTCGATTGAAGTTACAATTAGATGACTGTAAAGAGGTGCATACGATTATCTCGGGGAGACTTTCTCATGCCTTCATTACTCATCCTTTAAATAAGGTATTGTGTACCTGTGTTGAATATTTATTGGTGGTTACTAATGTCATCCAAGTGGAATATACTTTCGTAACCTTGTGAATATTGGTTGCACTTTTAAATTGATAGCTAGTTGATTGGTCTCACTGTAGGCTTCATTACGCAATAGTTTGGAGGAAGATTTAGCTGAAGAATTTCAAGTGGGATGGTACTTGTATCAGAAATTTTGCTGATAGCCTTAAGTAAACAAGCGACGGTGTTATGCAGCTGAAGAGCACATGTGAAAGAGCACACATTCAAAACCTTTAATCCTTCACTGCCTCAAAAACATTATCTAATGGTTTCATAAAAACCAACAGGGAGTCAGAATTACTAAATATATAGCAACATGTGTTCTATTTCTTCATATATGCGTAAACCTTAAATATAACGGAAACTGATGCTGCTGAGAGAGAGAGAGAGTAAAATCCAAGCTAATCAGTATTGACGTGAGAAAGCTGTTTGGGCAAAGATTAACATTCCTTCATTACCTGTTGGGTGTTTTGATTATTTGTTAATTTCATGTTAGGTAGTCTTTATTGTTTACTAAACTCTATCGATTAGGAGATGTTCAATATAGTAGTCAGCATGTCAGTTAACTTATCTTAAATCTAAGGTGTTGTACATGTGTAAGTGGATATCCCTTCACTTTTAATCGTTCTTGTACTAGAATGCTTTCTGTAAATGTGGATAATGCTAAGGATTTCTTACGCTGTAAAACATACTGTTAAAGGAGATATCAGTGTGGATAAATTGAGTTTTATTTTCTGAAATGTTTAGGACTAAATGTAGATTATGATATCTTTGAAATACTTCATGTGTGTATGTATGAATTATATTCACAATATGAAAGTATTTTGTGTGTCAGTGGCACAGCGGTTAGGACGTTCGCCGACCATGGACATGGTCCGGGGTTCGATCACCGGCCGACGCACTTCTTTACCTCGCTAAGCCAGAAATAATGCTGGTAAAGAGGGAAGGCTGGACATGAGGCTAACAACCTCATCCTGTAAAAATAAACACTGCTACAGAAACCAAGCCACTAGCTTGAAGCCCTATGTTCCACCGGGGAACGTGAAGGGAAAAAAATGGAAGTATTTTACCTTAATACTGCCTAGTAATATTAAGTATTTTACCAATAAATTCTATTTTTTCCGTAATTAAGTATCTTGAAGCAAAACTGCCATTTTATTTAAATACACTTTGTTTTTATGATCAAGAATAATTTTAGAAATAAGAAGAAAAAGACTAAGTTTTTGTAGTTAACCTACTTCACTTGCTTTGTATTTTTGTCATACTATCCTGCCATACAGATGAGCAAAGGCCAGAGACAAGAGAAAATAAATGTTAGATCTATCACCAATCAACTTCTCTTTGGCTTGCAGCAGAATTAACTGATAATATGCTAATCCCTAACTTATCCAAGGTGCACAGAGTCTACTTTATGTAAACAACATGTGACATGCTTTGTATTCCACTTGAGACAGAAGTGGAACTTTGAACATGCGTCTCATGATTTTTTTTGCGCTGATCGATTTCCCAAAAACGTATACTATTATTGTTTAAAGTGAAACCAGAAGAACAGGTTTAGAATTTGTCCTATTTACTTTGTATATAGCCTTCGTAAAATAAAAGTCATTCGTATTGTAAATAACAAATGACAACTTAGCATGACAGTCTAAAATTTAGCCAGAATATTTTAGTAAAACACAAATAAAAGGTGCTCTTAAACAGTGTATGGGTGGTCAAATAGTAAATTGTTCAACAGTTACATAGGGTTACTGGTTCGATTAACCAACCGGTGCACTCCTAAACATAACCTAGCTTATTAGTCAGAAAAAATTCCATCATCACTCAGAAATACTAATCTGTATCCATGTGTCACTGGTGTGATACAAACATTCATTTTCTGGTCTGTATTGACAAATTTGTGTCACACGTATTATAGTCAACAGTCTCAATCGTGTAATTTCCCTCTGTATTTATTCTTTGTAGAAACCAAAATACCTAATTTCATTAGTGAAATAGATATATCTTGCTGGCTGAAAAGAAAGACATGCTACACGTTCTTTAATGTGACAGTATCCTTCTAACAACACAAGAAGGCGTTATAATCAATTCAACATGAATGAATTTATGCAAAATTGAAAATGTTATATCATTATGACCTAGATCAGAGACGCTTACAGCCGAATCTCAGATGACTGGCGCTTAAAGCTGCCAGCTAAAATGTATCGAAGTGAATTTTTCTTACTAACTTACCAGTGTCCAAAAACTCAGTGGATTTCATAAATTATTCATAGAAAGCATTTATCAATAAAACGATATTAAGAAGTAGTGAAAGTAACAGACACACAAATCTATTTTGGTATGTAAAATGATCGGATTGTATTTTCTCTTAATAAACTCATAATCTAGGAAACTTGAACAAACTGTATCAAAGCGTACAGCGCATTTCTTATTCATGAAGTCAGTGTACAATTAAAATTATGAGTGTGTAAATGATTCTGCATAAAAAACTCTTATTGAATACTTTTGTGCATAGAGAATAACTGGAGAAGATGCAGAATCTTGCAGATCAGTACAACACTCAGCGGAGATAAGTAAGCATTATAGAAAAGAAATATATTAATGACATGAATGAACAATGTGCATAAAGTAAACAACCAACAATATTCATGAGTTATTACATACACGTAAACTGAATAATTTTTAACTTTATTTCATATCTGAATGGCCAGTTAGT